GGGCAAAACACTCATATGCATAAAATAAAAACAAATAAAACCAGGTGGAAGCTGGTCCACAGGCTGTAGCTCGGTGGCCATGCTTGAAGACATAGCATTACAATGTTGTTTCTCTTGATAAGCAAGGCTTGGGGCACTTTGAATTTTGTGTCTTGTGCCCCTGGCCCAAGCCCCAGTCCCTGACTTGCTGTTCCCTCAGCATCAATAAAGACAGCAGATGGATGTAGCTCACAGGTATGGAGGTCCAAGATCATGGAGTCACCATCTGCTCGCTCTGATGGGGGTCTCCTGGCAGATGGCATTGTAACTGCAGAATCAAGTTCACACGATGAGACAGGAAGCTGGAGGGTTCAGGGGCCAGGGTTAGCCTTGTGTATCAGCCCAGGAAAAGTCACAGGGCAGTTGTAAAATGGACACTACACACACAGGACAGGAAGAGTGAATATGAAACTTCTAGAACATGCATAGCAACCTGTCTTATCTAAGGAAGGATTAGCGTGGGAGATGGAGCCGGTGAGGGGGGAGGCAGCTGCAGGATCTGGGCTGTCATGGCATCCATGGAGGGGACAGTGGTGGACACCAGAGTCCAGGGAAGGGGGGGGCAGTCACAGGGGTACTGAGTCCTCACAGATGGTGAGCCAGGTGGAGGCGGACAGCAGAGCCAGCTGCCAGACTCACTGTGATACAACAGCACGACCTGAAGCCAAGGTCCAGACCTGAGTTGCCTAAAGTCTCTCCAGCTAAGATCAGGGCTGGGTTACAGGGCTGAGCATGGCCGTGGGAAAAGGGAGGCAGAGAGAAGCAGTGAATGGCCAGGCTAGGCTTTGCAGATGCTCCTAGGTCTGAGATGAACCTGAAGGTGTCCTCCCGGGCTTGGTGGATGGCACAGGTCAAAGGGCCACTTTGGATTCTAGGACATCCTGACACCCACCCTATGAGTCAGGGCTTTGGGACAAACCACTTAAAGAAAGACTAGGGCAGTGAGATCTCACCTTTGAGGGGCTGAGAGCTTTAAGGTCAGGGCCCCAAGTACAAGACCACTCCCTCCATCTGTGAGCATGGCAAGGAGTAGAGTGAGACACTGTGTAAGGCACTCATCTTGCAAGAAAATGTGCAGAAAACTCAGTCCTCAAGACAAATAGCAGCATTTAAAAATCAAAGTAATGCAAAAATAGGCAATGAACAACTTGCACATCATGTGCCTCACTTCCTCTCCCCAATCCTGGCCCTGGTTCCACTAAAACCTTATTTATAAAAGCAGGTAGGGCCCAGGGAGGCACGGGCTTAGCCTCCCATTCAGATTCAAACATCTGTCCCCAAAGTTTACTCTGATGCTCCTGCTGAGGGTGAGTTCTACTCTTTGCCCCTGTGCATCTTGGGGCTCTTGGCTGTGAGCATCAGCCACTGTGACATGCTTTAAGAGTGTTTTTCCCAAATTCACTCAGAGGTGTTTATAGGAGTCGGGGCTGTACAATAGTATGGGCTGCGTGGCCTCCAGAGGGTCCCCTGGGGAACAGAGCAAGGGCTCAGCCATGCAGCACATGGAGGCCATCTACCCCCAAACTTTCTGTGGTGGTTTGAATGAAAAATGTCCCTTTTAGGCTCAAGTATTTGAATACTTGGTAGGTTGGTGGTTTTTATTGGGGGTCATGGTACCTTCAGGAGGTGTGGCCTAGTGGGAGGAAGCTCGTCACTGGGGGTGGGCTTTGAGAGTTCGTAGCCTGCCTCCACTTCCAGATTTCTCTGCTTCCTGAAATTGGTTGATGTTGGAGATGACATCCAAAGCCACGCCGGATCACGTGGAAAGAGATCCATGACCTAGTGGAGACTACACGCCACAGATGTCCCCCTGGAGCTTCCTTCTCTGTCATTCTCATGGCTGTCTTTACCCTGCTTAGCATCAACACTTCAGACAGCCCCCACTCTCCCTAATACCATGTTCTAGAGATTTTATTTTTCAGGGAAAGAATCAGATCCATGGGACAATCGGTGGAACATTAAAGTAATAACTCAGGTGTATTTTCTAGGTACCCTACAGCTAACTTTCATGTATCTCAACAGCTTACATCTGCAGCCAAGTCTGTGCTAATTTACAATGTCATTTTACAGGAAAGACAGAGGACCAAATAAGATCGACTAATATTATTCTACAGGAAAGACAGAGGACCAAATAAAATCAACTGTGTCCTAGAATAAGTTTAACTTTCTTCCCTTCACCGCCCTTCTCTACCCAGGAGCTGCCAACAGAAAAAGATTTCACTGACTCTCATCTAAGTGAATTCAAACAACTAACTAATTATTTAATTTACATTTTCAGCAGCAAGCCTCCCCAGTACAGCATACATTGCTCTTCTTTTCCTATAGAATGAGGAAAAGCCCAAAACTGTGTTAATTTCTCTTTGTCCACCTTTTGTGTAATAATAATTACATCCCAGGAGCTGCTAGTAGAGAAAGATCTTCTTCCCCCTGCTGGCAGAGACCGAACTTACACTGGATGCTGGAAGCGTTGCCGTGGCGACAAGCTGTGCCTGATCCTGCCTTTGGCTGAGGCAAGCTGACATTCGTGACTGGTAGCCTGGAGTTTTCTCCAACAGCAAACGAACTCTCTCACCAAAACTGTACTCCACAACAAAAGAACATTGGACTTGATAACTGTTGAACATGGGGACTGTATGATATTGGGAAAGATACTGTTTCTCTGTAAACGAATTAAATGTTGTTGAAACCAATGTTAACACTCTCAAAAACTTTGTAATCTATTGGCTTAGCAATCCCTTGTTTTGCATGGCTCCTATTCCTTACTGCTCTCTGATAATACTGTGTATTATTGCTTGCTCACTGTTTTTAAGGTTTCCTTGCTGACAGTTACTGTTATTGCTGAAAATCACCACAAGAACAAGTCATGGTCAATTATCAGACTTTAGATTCTCCCGAGATGAGATAAGTTAGCCCTTAAGGCTGGTGATGGCACTTCTTCATATTTAAATCAAAGAGGGGGAGATGTTGGGGATCCCTGCTGTGTAAAAGTAGCAGTCTCTCCATGTCCGGAAAGCTCATGAGCTTGGTTTCATATGCAGAAGACTCCTTTTCATCAGGGTATCTTCCTGGCATTTTCCTGACTCACCTTTTTGAAGTGCCTGCCACAAATGCCCTAACATAAACATGGCCTCTGGCTCTGGAAATATCATGCTTTCCTGTGTGATTTTTCAGGCAGTCTGGCAGCGTGGCAGGAGCCCACTTCCATATGTAAATAGGGTATCTCACAAAGTGCCTATCAGCTAAAGCTTTTACCACTGCCCCTACAGTATAAAATATCCTAGTCTTCCCTCAATAATTTGGAGCTGGAAGAAGGAGCTGGAGCTAGGAACTAGAGCTGGGGCACTGAGACTTGGAATAAAGAGCTGTAACACTGAGTCTAACTGAGCTGAGTCTTGTCTCACTGCCTACGATCCAGCCTTCCCGGGAAGAGCTGTCTTTCCATCACTGACTCACGGATCCCAGCTTTAGCCGCCCTCACACTCTCCCGCGTGATCCAGGAGCCGGTGGATTTCTCATCTTGAGGAAAGTGCACGGGTGAAATTAGGGCGGGACTCGGCTGGGCAACGCCCCAGCAGCAGAGAGCCACGGAAGACGCAGGGAAGCAGCAGAGAAGCAGAGACCCGCTGCCACAGACGCTGCGCGACCAGCGACATGAGACGCGGTGCGGAGCAGAAGTCTGCCGACCTGCGCCGTGACCCTTCCGGGCGTGTGCAGGGGGCCACGAGGTACCCGCGCAGGGCCCCACACCGGGCGCCCAGCGCGCCCCAATAGGTTGAATATGTGAACTCTCAGCTTGCTGCTCTGGATGCCTCCTGCCATGCCTCCCCACCACCATGGACTCATCCCTCTGGAACCATAATTCCACATAAACTCTTCTTCTATAAGTTGCTTGGGTTATGATGTCATAGCATGGTCACAACAACAGAAAAGTAACTAATACACACCTTTCAAGTGTGAGTGTACAGCAAAGCGACCTCAGACAGTGAGGAGAAAGGAACCAAACAGCCTCAGGTCTAAAGGCTGTGGACGCTGGGTGGGGATCCAAAATATGGACAGCTACGTCTGTGTCCACAAAAAGAGAGACGGCCCCTCTGATGTCTCGGGTGTTAAATTTGGCTTGTAAATAAATACAAACAGGGCCAGCATGTAAGATGTTGTTCTTGGTTTGGTTTTCTTTACAAGAAAGACATAAAGCAATTTTTTGAAACTTGCATATGAAGTGATTTTTCTCATCTTACAGAGGAAATGTGTCCTGGAAAGTTCCACCTGCCCTGTTGTCCTAGATAGTTTTAACTGTCAACTTGACACAGCCTAGAGTCACCTGAGAAGGGAATCTCAATTGAGGGACTTCCCAGATCAGATTGGTCTATGGGGATGTCTGTGGGGGACTGTCTTGATTGTTCATTGATGTAGGAGGGCACAGCCCACTGTGGGTGGCACCATTCCCTAAGCAGAGGGTCCCACAAGCAGTAGTCCTCCATGGTTTCTGCCTTCAGTTCCTGCCCTGACTTCACTCAACAGTGGACTGTGACCTGGAAGTGTAAGTCAAACAAAGCCTTCCTCCCTAAGTTGCTCTTGGTTAGTGTTTTATCACAGCAACAGAATGCATACAAGAAAGCCTGTCCTCCTGTGTGGACTCCTGGCCTGACAGCCTCAAATCCATGTGTTGCACTAACTCAGGATCGGTTCCCAGTGGACCTTCCACACCCTCTTCTGGGAGACACAAGACCCTCCACCCTCCCCACCCTGAAAGCAACAAGCAGAAATAAACACAAGAGCAGAGGTCTCGGCAGGCAGGGCAGCCTTGTGTGGAGCACGGGTCTTTATTCTTTAGGACTCTGGGCTCCGGTATTGGCAGACACCAGGAGCAGACAGAAGAGCAGCAGGTGGGTGCTACCCTCGGCCACCATTGCTGGCAAATGTCCAAGGTGCAGAGCCCCCTTCCCAGAGCCTGGGCATCTTCAAAACGTGCATTCTGGGAAAGAAAAAAAGGGTCAAAGTGAGCAGGGTCATCCCCATCAAAGGTCAGGCTGCAAGGCCGGCACGTGGCTGCTTTCTGCCCCACAGTCTGGGAGAAGTACGGTGTATGGCACCAACAGCTGTTAAATGAGATAATTTGGTCTCCACAAGGGGTGACAGGGCTTCCTGTCCCTGGAGCAGAGCCAGAGGCCTGTGACTAGTCAGCAATGGGGTAGAGGCTGGATCCTGCTCCTGCTCCAACCATACCCAGCCCTCCTCCCTGGCTGTGCTGGAGAGGAGCCTGCATGGGGGTGGACCTCCATCCTCACACCAGAGCAGCTGGAGCTCAGCCTCCTGTCACCCAGGCCAAAGGGTACATCTGGTTCCCTTGGGGGCCAGTACAGGAAGGTGCCTTATATAGACACAGCCTTTTTAGAAGGTGAGCCAGCACTTGGACACAGCAGATGGCTCATAACAGATGACTTCATCAAGATGTGATGAGGTGGGGACTGGGTGGAGCGGAATGGCAAGCCGCCCATGTGCCCAGCCATCTGCTGTTTACACAGCCCCACCCAGGGAGGGATGCCCAGGGTGCTTGTCCTGCATCCTCTTCTGCCCAGGGAGGGGGTAGGAGATGCAGAGGAGGTTGGAGGAGTGGAGGAAGGTACCAGGGCACCAGCATAGGCTCCTGGCCACCATCTGCTTAGCATGTCACAAATGACAGGGACTTTGGATGGTTGGGTTGCCAAAACTGGCCTGAAATGAGCCCAGGTCCCACATCTACATGGTTTCTGTTTCTCAGCTAGTTTACATGTCTTCATGTGGTGCCTTCACACAGAACATCTTTTGTGTTTGTGTGTGCGCACACGTGTATGTGTGTACATGTGTGTGCATTGTGTGCATGTATGTGTGCTTGTGTGTTTGAAGGCCAGAAGACAACCTCAGGTATCATTCTGCAATGCTGTCCACCTTGGTTGTTTCTTTTTAAAATATGTTCACACCTATTTATTTTGTATGTGTGCACACACGCATATTTGAGGGAGAAGCTGGGGGCATGTGCCACTGCACAGATATTCAGAGGACAACTTGCAGGATTCAGTTCTCTCTTTCCGCGGTGTGGGTTCCAGGGATCAGACTCTGGTCATCATCTTTGGCACCTTTACCCACTGAGCCATCTTGTCAGCTCTATCTTGTTTTTTGACATCAAGTCTCTCACTGACTTAGAACTTGCCAATCAGGCTAGGCTGGCTAGCCATTAAGCTCCATGGATCTGCCTGTCTCTGCCTACCCAGTGCTGGGACTACAGACATGCATAAGCAACCATGCCCAGCATGCCCAACATGCCTGTGGGTTATGTGTCCAACTCAGTCCTCAAGTGTGTGACAAGCACTTACTGACTGAGCAATCTCCCCAGCCCTCAGGAGATCTTTTGTAGCCACTTTTTTTTTTATATTTTACATAAGGGATAGAAGGGGCTAGCCACTGGCTGCTAGCTGCCCTGGGCATGAGGCCCCCTCATGTGAAGTGCTGGGTGTCCTGCTGAGGCCCAGCCACACGGAAGGACAGAATGGTCCTGGAACACCATGCACCGTGGGCTGCTGGCTGGTCTTACCCGTCTCCTGAAGAGGCTTGAAGCACCAGGGTACTTGTGGGATGCTGGAGTCAAAGCAGCAGCCTCGGTTGTTACACTCCTCCTTGGTGACCCTGGGGTAGCCACAGTCCACCCTGTCCTTGGCGGGGACCACACACTGGCTTGGAGCTGTCCAGATGAAAGCAGGTCAACTGCTAGAAATTTACTTTTTTACAGCTAGTGTCTTGCTTCCTTTGGTTCCTCTCCACCCGTGCCCCCAGGTTCAAAGACAGTGACCCCTCTGCCCCTTGGAGGATGTTTAAAGTAACACAAAAAAGTCTATTTTGAACTGAAGTTCCCCCCCAAAAGTATTGCCTGTATTGAAAATCCTCAGGCAGATGGACTGGTTAGAACTTCACGGTTGTGGAGAGTTGGAATGTTGCGTATTCAAAGCCAAAATTATCCTGGGTCACCTTTGGCCCCCTTGTAGATTTATCATCCGTCTCTGTGTCTGATCTAACACCTTTATGACTATCAGGCAAAACTTTTGGAATGTGTTAACTTAGCAGACCACCTACCCAAGAGCTAAGAATGTCATCAGATAACATCTGAGGTCTGTGGCAAAGCTTTCCCTGCTTGGCTGTAACGCACCTGCCCACTGTCCCCACCGTTGCACTTGGTAAATGCCTTGATCCATGACTGTCTTTTGTTCTGTGACTATAAAACTTTTTGCAACCACTCTCACAGAAGAGACTATGTTCCCTGGCCATAGCCATTCATGTTTGGCCCAGTATAAAGTTGGGGTTTTTTTTGGTTTTTTTTTTTTTTTTTTTTGACAAATTCTCATGTAGTTCAGGCTAGCCTTATGCTTGCTGTGAACACATCCCTTTGGAAGGAGAGGACCCTGTGTTCTGCATCCACTACTGGACACTTGCCCCAGGAACCTGGACATTTCCCCAGGTGTCTCTCACATGGCTCCTTCATCTCACCTTGTCAGGAAGTCAAATATGGGTAGGCATGCCCTCCAGCTGGCAAGGCCCTTGGGAATCTGGACCCCCTGAACCTCAAAACAAAGTTCCCTTCCTGTTTGATCCCAAGAATCCCTCTATCACAGTGAAAAGTGTTCCATGGGAAATCGCCACGCATGCTGTTTTAACTTCTCTTTGGCAGCTCTCTGGCTGCCGCACAGTGGTTAGCTCATCCTGTCCCAGCCGGGAGCATCCTCCAGTCTCCTGCGCTCCTGGTTCAAGCAGAATATGCTTACCCAAACCTGCAGTGAAAGCGCACCTCCTTTCCTATGCCCTTCCCAACCTCCCATACCCTTTCCTCTACAGCAAACCCATCATGCCTTCCTCGGTGCCCTACACCTTGACACCAGAGTCCTGGAGATTTTTGAAAACTTTAACCTGGTTCCAGTCCCAAGGCATGTACAACCCAGGTTGTACAAAACTGTCTGGAACTATTCTTTCTCAATGAACTTTTTTGCTCTGGTAACTTGCCAGGATGATGTGTAAAGGCCTTAATTATAATTCAGAAATCTCTGGCAAAGAAGGAAATAAGATAGGACGGGCACCAGCTACCCAGCCTCTAAGCCTGGGTTCCAACCCTGCTTTGAAACTCTGAGCAGGAGCGTTGTCGTAGGCATGTTAACGCTCTCAGCTCAGTATCCTTGTCTGTCAAATGGGGCAGAAATACCTACTCTGCAGGGCTATTGCAAGAAACATGTACTGATAAACAGTAATTAATTATTAAGTTGCTGTAGAAGGTGGACAGCTTTCCCAGCTCACACAAGGTTCCCTCAACTTGTGTCTTGTAGATTCCTCCCTCTGCTGGGAGGCCCCAGCCTAGCACCAGGAACCAGTGATGTACTCACAAAGGCCTATGTAATCCGAGGCCACACAAGAGGTCCCAGCAGCCAGGACCAGCAGCAGCAGCCATAGGGCTCTGGTCTCCATGGCAGCAAGCGTGTTTCAGGCTCACCTCCCAGAAGATGTGCAGGCCTACCAGCGAGGCCCCTTTATAGCCCTGTGTTTGCCCAGCTCTGTGGGTTGTGTTTGCTTAGGGAGGGCGCTCCTGGGCTCTAGCAACATCTGTTTCTCTCCTGGGACATCCCAAAAGACCCCTCCCCCATCGTCAGGGGGAAGGGCAGCCTCAGTAGATGCCAGCCTGGGAGCAGGTACCAGCTGGCAATCACTGTATGAGCCTGGCCCTGGTCAGGAAGAAGGGAAAAAAAATCCCTGTGAGGCTGCACGGCAGGATGTCAGGCTCCCATAGGGACTCAGCCACCACACCAGGAGCAATGAAGAAGACCCTGCCAGAAACGAGACCTCCCGGCCACCTAATCCACAGCACCCCCAGCGCCTGATAACACAGGCAACAAGCAGGGGCCCCAGGCCTCTCTCCTCTGCCCTCTAACCCAGCAGAGCCATTTTATCACTAGCTGTATTTAATATCTGAAATACATTTGTTCAATGTATCTTAATAAAAATATGCTCTACTTGTAGTTTGTTTCTGTTTTTTTGAAACAGGGTCTCCTTGTAGTCCCAGATGGCATGAGACTTGCTATGTAGACCAGGCTGGCCTTGATCTCACAGAGGTCCACCTGTTTCTGCCTCTCAAGTGCTGGGATTAAAGGTGTATGCCACCATACCCAGCCTGGTTTTTAAAAATTAAATAATAAAAAGACTCCTCCTTTCCAAAGACATGTGTTTCTCTGGTCTCTAACGCTAAGCAGACTTTAACCCAAGTGGGTCTGAACTGCCCATACTGGCCCAGCTTGCCTTTCCTACTTCATAAGATGTGCTACAATAGAAACTGATCTTCATCAACCTGTGTAGCTGAGGCTAGACCTGGCTTCCAGAGGAAAAAGCTGAGGCCTGGCACTAAGGGTACACTCCAAAGTTGCTATAGAAACAGGACCAGCTCAGCAAGGCCCCCAGTGATAGCCAATAACCTGTGGTGTCCTGCCTCCCAGTCTAGGAAGGAGCAGCATCCAATCTTCCCTCCTGGAAACTCAGTCCTGGAAGCTGCTGACCACCACCCTCTCATGATAGCCATAGGCTTTTGCAGGGACCATTTGAAAACCTTCAAGGTACATGTTTGCCCATCACCCCAGGAAATTGCTGCATCTGGATCCTCAAACTTAGCTTCCAAGGTCGGCAGAACACCCAAAGGGGTGTCCAGGAAGTTGTCCTTCACTGAGCAGTGAATGGGAACCATGATCTGTGTGCAGTCTCCTGGACAGGCCCAAGCATGTGTTGGGGCCACAGCCACATACAGAGAATACATAGTTATTGGCACCTGTACAAGTGTAGATTGAGCCAGGATCAAAGACCAGACACTTGGCCTGCAGATACTGGGACCTCATGACACTAGGCAGAGCCCTTGACCTCAGAGCTCACAGCTTGGAGCCAAGGAACAAGCCTTAAAGCAGGAATCCTGATGTGCTGTGTGAGAGCTAAAAGAAGGAGGTAAAGTCTGGCTGGGCCTTGAGGCATGGGTATGAGTTCACCAGGTGAGTGAGGGTCAGAAGGGCCCACTTGGTACTGCTAACTCAGCATTCCAAAGAACTAGTCCTGGAGGCCTGCAAAGGGTCTGACATGGAGTCGCCTCTCCATTTCTTAATGCTACCATCTCGGTTATCTGAGCCGTCAGTCAGAGGGAAGAAGGCAAAGGCCGGGCTCTGCCGCGGGGAACTCCTGCTGGCCATCTGTCATCCTTTCCGCAGCCGCCTTGGGTGTGGCCCCTTCCCCATTGATTCTTCTCTGGACTCCCAGTTCCTTTTGAGTCATCAGGACCTGGATGTGACTATTTCAAGACACAAATGCCGTGGCTGATTTAAGGGTGCCCCTCTTTGGGAACACGGTCCATTGGGGACAGTGGGGCACTCGAGCCATGCACGTGTGGCACACTAACTGTAGGTACCCGTATAAGTCTGTGTCTTCTGCCTCGAGTACTGAGCCGATGCCCACCCACGGCTGTCAGGAAGATATAGGGCAAGCCCTGGTGGTCTGGGAAAGCAATGTCCAGCTCAAAGGGTACTTGGGAATTCTCCAGCTGCCCTGGAGGAGCCACAGGATGATCAGGGTGGGACAGTGGCATAGAATGCATCTCAGGAACGCCCTTCGGAACAAAGATAAGTCAGAAATGGGCAGCTGACAGCTGTGCAGCACCCACACACAGCCCCACCTTTTCCCTGCAGGTGCCTGGTTCCTAACACACAGGTGACAGAGAGCCCCTCAGAGGAGCCAGTCTGTGGCCTTGTGGTAACCTTGAATCTTCCGGGCATTGGGGAGGAACACACAGTTCTCAGGGATCCCCGAAAGCAAAGCTGCAGGCATGTAGCACCCAGGTACCGAAGGCCTGGACAGACTTCACAGGAAATCCCCAGAAACCAGGGCTGGCAACCCAGATGGGCCACTACCTCTCTAGGGTATCAGACTTCCTCTCCATGAACCAAGCTGGTGACCAGGGATTTCCAAATGTGCTAGATTGATCAACGTTCTCCTCAAACACAGGGCCTTCCCAGAGCCCCCGGATGTGACCATGTTTAGGAATAGGGTCTTTGCAGGTGTCATTAAGTAAACTGGTACATGGTCAAACAGAAGAAGGTGGATCCTAAGTCTAATCTGGTCAATCATCCTCATAAAAGGAGAAGGGACACACAGACAGACAGGATGTAAACAGACACAGGAGAAGATGCCTTGTGATGACAGGAGCAGAGGCAAAGTGACATGAGCACAAGCCAAGGGGGCCACCAGCAGCCACCGGGAGGGAGGAGCAGCAAGTCCCCGGTTCAGAGCCTGTGCAGGGAACAGAGCACTGCCGACACCCTGATCTTGGACTCGGGGCCTCTGGAACTGGAGAGCTACATCTCTGCTCAGTGAGCGGCCCACTAGTGGTTCTCTTCCTGGGGTGGCAGGGAGGAAGTGACCACAGCTGGTGGCTCTGTGTCCACGTTGGCTTGTGCCACAGAGAGGAAGTCAAGAGTGTCTGGTGCTTCTGTGGCTCCTCTCTGGTGGCCTCTCCCTCCAGCTCTGACCCACTGCTGTGAAGTTATCAAGATTGTACATGCGTATCTGGCCCTGAGACAAGACAGCAAGCTTGACCCCAGCCTAGGGCTCACAAGGTCACGTCATTAAATGCCTTTGTTTTTATCTTCCTTTCTGTGGAGACAAGGTCTGTCATTTCAGAGCTAAAAGTGGGGTGACCCCATGACTTCTACAGTCTCAAGCAGAGCTGTCCTTCAGGAGCTGTCCATTCCCACATGATTACCAAAATTCTGAACTTGATCTTAAAAAATACTTAAAACCCATATAATTGACCAAAGAGCAATGTCAAGGATGCATAAAGAGCCTGCATAAACCAGTAGGGAAAATACAACCTGATTTTAAAAGGCTAATTAGGAAATACAGTATAGAAGAAAACTAAGTCTATAAGGGGCTGGAGCTCACCACACATTGTGGAATTACAAAACTAGCTTCATTGCAGCCATATACCTGCATCCAGTCACACTGATATCACCACGTGCTGACCAGGATGTGGAGGAACAGGAACTCTGATAGTGTGATTAACGCGCACTCTGTGTCGGGTGCGTTGACAACATTCAGTAACTTGAAGCCCGTGATGTTTCAGTGGGAAGAAACTGGGACGGATGCACCTAGCTGCCTGTCTATAGGGAGTCCAGTTCAATTAAATGCTAGACCTGTGTCCAGAGGAATGAATCAAATCCACTTTTGTTGATATAAATAAATTTCAAAAATAAAATGCTAGTTTAAAATTAAAGTAGGACATACCATTTTTGATTGTTTTTAAAAGTCCAGCAAAATATTACTATACATAGTTTATAGACAGGCTTTGGAGCAGTGGCTGCTTTTGGGGTGAGAGGAGGAAACGTAAAGGAAGGGCTTGTATGATTTTATTCATTTTTATTTTATTTTTTATGTGTATGAGTGTAATGCCTGCATTCATGTAAGTGCACCTGTGTCATGCAGTGCCAAGGAGGTCAGAAGAAGGCGTCGGAGCCCCTGGAACTGGAGTTTGAGATGGTTGTTAGCTACCATGTGGGTGTTGGGAATTGAACCCGAGTCCTCTGCAAGAGCAGCCAGTGCTCTTAACGGCTAAGCCATCTCTCTAGCCCCTGATTTTATTTCTTTATTAAATAAGAGACACCAAGGCAAACAGAACCAAAGATGGACATTTAATAAATATGTATAGATGGCCACCATTCATGGGAAAGTGTTTGAAACATGATACTCAGAGTTAACAAACTCCAGCAGTAGAAGATGGTGAGGAGCAGGAGAGAGATGGCCTGGAGGAAGCAAGGCCTAGATGGGGCAGCGGAGGCTGGGGTCCTGGTTTGGAAGAGTTATTTTCACATCCCATCCCGGAAGGTTCATCAATACCACAGAGGCTTACCTTGTCAGGGATGGATGAGGGGACCACCCTGAATCCCACCCAGCATCCAGCTTCCTGGTCAATAGAGGCCTTAAGTCATCTCAAATCTTCTTATTTTAATTCTTGGTCCCTGGGCCTCTCCAGTGCAATCTCAAGTTTCTCTCTAGACCATGCACTGGGAAACAGATTTCAGTCCATGACATGAGGCACATAAGATGGTGGCCCCATTAGATGCTGATGAAGCTGAAAATTTTCTGTTGCCTGGCAACTTTGAGGTACCATAGATCATTTGAGGTTGTGTGATGCCTGACCAAAAATAGCCTGACTCCATTAAAAACAACTGTGGGGCCCAGTCTTTTCTGGAAACACATTCCTTCAGATTTCTCCTAGGACTGTTCCCTAGAATAAAAGCCTTCCTCTTTCTTTATTGAAACAATATAGCCAGCATCAGATGGGGAAGATGAAGACCCTTACCTTATCAGAGAAGGATTTTCCTACCTGACCTGTACCGGCCCAGAACACCACAGACAACCACAAGCACATGTTACCAATCTAATCC